ACTTCTTCCTTTCCTATCCTTATTCCTTTTATTTCTCTCTCTTGTCTAATTGCTCTGGCTAATGCTTCCAGAACTCTGTTGAACAGGAGTGGTGACAGTGGACATCTTTGTCTTATTCCTGACTTTAAAGTGAAAGCTTTTAGTTTTTGTCCATTTAGTATGATGTTGGCTGTTGGTTTGTCATAGATGGCTTTGATCAGACTGAGGTAAAGACCATCAGTTCCTGTTTTCTGTAGGATTTTTATCAAGTGGGACAGGTGAGTTTGGTGCTTAGGGGATACAGCTGGACATGTGGGTTGGGAATAGAGGGTTTCCTGACAGGAAGTAAAGCTGTGGCAATAGAGACACAGAATGAGAAGAGGCTAGCGCCTGGGGACAAGTCCATCTCCAATGCTGTTTCAGGCAGGGAAGTGGAAGAATCTCCCAGGGAGCCAGGAGAGCAGGCTGGAGGTGGGGGGGCTGCCTAGTGAGATGAGGGCCAGTCTTCCCATTGACAAGCACCAATGGAGGGATTCAGTAGCCAGGGCACAGGTCGGCAGACAGCAAAGGTACAGAAATCAGGCAGAGGGAGGAGAGAAGCAAAGGAGAGGAAGTGGAGGCCATGCAGATGAACAAGTCTTGGGAGCAGCTATTCTTGGGACAGGAGGAAAAAGGACATAATCAGGAAGAGGGACAATGGAATCCATGCAAGCTGCTTTTTTGTATATTGTCTGTCTGTTTCAGATGGAGTGATGTGATGATAGGATACATAAAAGAGGAAGGCACACAGGGATGTGGGTGAGGGTCAGAACTGTCCTCCATACAAGCACCCCGAGCCACCTCCCATTTTCCTGGAAAGCAGGAGATGAAATCAACTGGTGGGATGAGTGTGCTAGGGGAGGAGGAGAGAGGGGTCAGAGGGGCAGAAGCAGTTTCAATGGTCATGGTCGAGCGTGAGAAGCTGCCAGGGCTATGGAAATGGGGCAGCGCTGTCCCTCACTGGTGGGCCCACACACTTGCACAAGCAGGGGTCTAGTTTTAAAGATAAAATGAAATATTATCTTTTTTACAGAAGAAACCCAGGCGCACAGTTCCTAATCTAAAAGCCCTGGGGACAGACTGGTTTTGGACTTCAGTTCTCTGTTTATAATTTTATTTTAGTAGGGTAATATGGTATATATGCCACATAATTACATAATTCTCCCCAGCAGGACACGGAGAAGCACCCTGTAATCCAGCACATTAGGATTTCTGCAGCAGAATATGAATTTTCACATCAGGTGAATCAGTAAAGGCTATAAGCAGCATCACATCTGTACAGGTTGTTTTGCCTTCAAGAGCTTGAGAAAACAAAGCAAAACCAAATCAACTTTTTGTTTTTTAAAGTGATTTGAATCTGTTATTGTGGGTAAGGAAATACGGGCCTGTCTACATCTTAATAAAGATTTGAGATTACAAAAAGGAGAAGAAAATAATCATAGTTGCCCAGAGAAAAGATTTCTGTAACTCTTCTCTTTTAGGTGAAGGTTTTAAATGATCCTCCCCCAAGGTTCCAGAAGTAGATGGAGGCAAGTTAGCCCTCATGGGATCCATGGGTGTCCACTGTGACAGTCCTTCCACTCTGCTGGAGCCTCAGTACTTCCCTCAGTCTAGAAGCTGGGACCTACCAGGAAAGCCATTTTGGTTCCAGCTAGAAATAAGTGTGAGATTTTAGAGTACAGGTTGAGATAGACAAGCTTTAGTCATTTCCTTTCCATGATGAAAATCTTCAAAGGCTCCCACTGTCTTCTGGAAAATCTTTTTTCACTCCTCTGTGTTCTGAATACTCTAAATGCAGTGCAGAGGCACTGTGGGCTTTTACACATCTGGTTTGGGCCCTGGCTGTCCTCTCTGCCTGGAATTCCCTTCCTCCTACTCACTTTCTGGTGAACTATTTATTTCTCAAAGTCAGCACAGATATCACCACTCTTTGAAGATTTTTCTGACTGCCTGTGGCAGAGCCAGGCATGGCCCCTGGGCTCTCCCAGTTCTTGTCAATATCTACGTTGCAGAATTTGTGTCTGTCTTCCTTCCAGAAATTTGTGCCTATCTGGCGCCCACCTCTCATCTGTGTCTGTCTGAGCCACCGCTCGCACGTGGATGGAGTAGGGAGCAAGAGAGTCAGACAGACAAAAGCTGACCTCACTCCTTGGGGTTGTGAGCTGAGCAGGAGGACCAGACAAGGGGCTGCAAAGCTTTACCACCCTTTTGGGGCTGAGATACGGTCTTCGAGGACAAGAAGTTTCTTAGGATTTGAAACTTCTACTTTGTAAAACAACTACTTTGTAATGCTGGCTTTCTGCCCCCAACCACCACCTTTTTGTTAACTGTTCTTGTTTGACCTATGTCAAACATTACTATACTTTCTATAAAAAGTTCCAGACCACCTGTGAGACTCAAATCCTTGCCATCAGTAGAGTTTTCAACACTCTCTAAACCTACAACAAGATGTGGACAAATCCCTAGGCCCAGTTTCTGTTCAAGGCCAAGTTTTGTAAGTGGAGGCAGCCACTCTAGGGGGACACCACAGTCCCGATGGCACTCTCAGAGCTGGTATGGCAGCTTGGGGGTTTGCTCCGAGGACAAGGCCTGATTGCTCTATATGTGACAATTTTGGATGAAAAAAGCTGTTTTTTGTT